TTTTACGTTGCTTTTAGCAATATTCCAGCAATATCACGGCATGGGACACCAGAAATGGGCTTCACACATTGTACCCATGTGGGGAATAGACCGATCCAGTCCCGGACGATAAGCCCCGCCCACTTCGTTTTTGACGTTAGGGGGGACAACTACTGACTAATCACAATGGCGTCACCGCCGGCGAAACGTACGTGATTGCGAATGTTGTTGATGAATTCTGTTTGTTGTACTTTGGTATCCGTCGTTCGTGAATGATATTTAAAAAGGAAAGTTATACGTATTTTATTTTCAATATATTTTAGTTGACAGGTTGTATAATTGGCGAGTGAAAATGTAGTTAGATCTACATGCCCGATGAAAAATCGTCTCAGCCAGCTGCTGAGATTGGGAAGCGTATTTTCTACCAAATAATCTATCCGGCAATTCCGCGTCGTTGTAAGTTATTAGCAGGGGAAAGGTAACTGAATTATGTTGTTTGCTGCTTTTTCTAAAAATTTCCCATCGTAATATTATAAAAACGTGAACACAACCACATGTGCAAGTTGCAGATCGTTTCGGTATCTATAAAAGATTGTCAAAACTGCGCCGTGCCACCTTTATTTATTTATCCTTTGTTGAAATTAGTTAAATTAGAAGTTTGTGAAAACATGGGTTTCTACCTTTCAAGGAACAACGCAGGAAAACAGTATCCGTCTACTACTTAGGTCCACCTTGTTTGTCTGTATATATTATCTGGAAAACGTTACTGGACCTGTTAACACAGTATGTTTCCATGGATGTATCTGGACATACCCAGAAGCAAATATTCAGCAGCTAATCTGCAGCTATTCTAAGTAAAATTTCTCTCTTCAAAATCTGTACACCATCTTAAAATGACACTGAATATAAGGAAATCCATTTTTTTAATAATCCTTCCCAATTTATTTTTCTATGTGTACTTTGTTGTGGAATCCTAATCTACAAACCTCCACTATAATGGACTTCATGAACTGCCAGCATTTATCTACAGGTATGTCACACCACCATAAACACAAAGAATCCAAGATACAGTCTGCACATCTTCCATAAATAGGAAACGTGTGATGCAAAATCTTTGAACAGAGGATCCACAGTTATCCGAACAGTTAACTAGCATTGAAATAGAATGTTACACAACATACAAATATACTGCTTTTTCTTCAGATATATTTAACTGCTAACTACTAATGTAAATAAGAGGCAAAGAATATATTCAAAGTTTAAAGCTTTTTGTCAATAAAATTACATCTTGACATTATTGCTTCTTAAACAATGATAATCTTATTAGATCTGAGACCATATCCCTTAGGGACATAACACTAATTCTGATCTATTTCCTTTTCTGAGATACTTACTAGTGTCATCAAAATTATATTAAAGTTGCTTAAAAATTTGGTAAAAGTCAAAACAAAAGTTTAGGAAAACATACATGAAAATGTCCTGAAGCTTTCACCTCCTGCAATTAAACCAGTGTGCAATTTAATATGAATTTAAGCTTATTTTTCCAAATAAGCATCAACAAACCTTGAACAATTTGTCCAAAACCAACATCTTAATAAACACTATTTTGGCTCAGTCTTCAAATATTGGTAACCTCCTCAAAAGCTGATGATTTCTAAAAAGTATTACATGAAATTGGGGTTGAATATTATATGTTTCAATATCCATTCCAGTTACATGAACAGTCAACTTAGAATTCTGTAAGTTATTTGGTTCCAAGACTGAATAATGCCTGGGTGTGACCACAATGTAGCCTTTGTTTTTTTCTTCAAATTCTCTGGATGTTGAAATAACTTTATTATGAGTGATGATACTAGTGTTCACTCTCTGAATAATCTTATTAGTAAACATATTATTTAAAGACCAAATATATCTTAAAACAAACAAGCTAACTTAGTATCAAGTGATTGTTCAGCCATGATATGTAATATAGTGTTTGTTTGCCTAGTTCTGCCTTAATTTCACATGAATCTGATATGTGAGTCAATTAAGTAATTATTTATAATTGATTGGATTATTACCTATTTTATTACCTTTTCCTCAAGCTTCCTGAAGGAGGCAAGATTCTTAAAGCATACTTTGCTATCATTTCCAGTGAATTATAATTAAAATGACAGAATTATGTTATTACTTCTAAAATGTACCAATGTAACCCACTCACCCCACCCTACATGTAAAAGAATTATGCTGTGACAAAAAATCAAAACAAATAATGTTCTCATAGTTAGAAAATAAACTTATATTTCACTTTCGTCCGATATTCCAGAAAGTCATATTCTTCTAACATAGTCTTCGCCTCCGATCCACATGGAGTAAGCTAAATCAATTCAAGGTCCCATCTCTTTATAGAAATTCTGAAATATTTAAGACATGGTTTTATAGACACTCATTTGAATTAATTTTGATGTTTTGATATTGCCTGATAGGCAACTGCTGACACTGACAATATTTCCGTTTGGATAAAAGAAATATTACTCCTCGAATATTTTGCACTATCAACAGATACTGTACTGTTCATAGGCCTTCAGATTGTGCTTTTGAAACTTTAAAACATCCTAAAATGTGTGACAAATTTAAGAATATCTAATCGCTAATGCAACCATATCCACCACATTGTTCTTTAATGTAACAAGTTTTTCTATTTCGGCCGACCCTAACCAAATCAGCTCGCTGTCAGATTTGTTTACATTGTGTCACGGCTTTCGCGCTGTCTCATTTCAGGTTTATGGTGTACCAACTCAATGCCTAGTAGTGACTAAAAGCGTGAAGCAAAAACAATTTTGTAGTTACAAGAATTGCCCGTGTTTATAACACTTGCAAAATCCTAAACTACTATTTGTTGTCATCTATTGGTAATGCTTTTGCACATGTGCTTAAAGTGTGTAAGTCGTGTAAATTCTCACCTTCGAGCAGACGTAGGTTTCGTGAACGACGGTGCCGACATTTAACTGCTCGTTAGGCCTATCGCATTCCTTGATCCGCCTCAATTTTTTTTGTCTTGATCGTAATGGTTTTGGTAAAGGTACACATCAAATCACAGCAATATGTAATAGATATAGCGAGTGTAAATGGCATAATTCATAGCACATCGCTTCGGAGGCATCGTTTGACCCCGGAAATAAGTCTGACAAATCCACACAGCGCGCCCGGCCTGCTGATTGGCCAAAATTGACGCATGCGCCAGTTTTGATTGACAGACTGGATCGGTCTATTGAACCCGGGTCTTCGGCTTGACGAGCGAATGCTTTAACCTCTAGGCTACCCCAACGCCCTCTTTGTAAAGAAAGCTATGTTTAAGATCGTACCATTTTCGATAGTTTGTGTCCAGTATCGACCACTGAGTCAGAAATACATACCTATTACCTTTACATCATAACCTCTATGAAAAAGTACAATATGCTTTTGGCATCAATGGAAATAACTGAAGATAGACACCTGGCTATGTATATTTTCTTATACAAATTGCTTTAGAAATGTTCAGGTTGATTAAATATGTACATGATATGATGACTGACCACCTATATGAACATGAATAAAGATCTTTTCTAACTTCACTACCTGGTATAGATCATTTAATATGCCATTAACAAAACATAAAGAAAGTAGAAAAAGGACAGCTATGCTTTTACAATTGGATGGGCAAGATAATGAGAAAGTTGTTTCATTCACAAGCAGAAAGTACCTATGATGAGATGCAAGTAAACCTTTGTTTTATACACATATACAACAAGAATCAGTTTTCTCATTAACATAAGAAATATATACAGTAATATCTGCAAACATTACAGTTTATCAACCTGATAATCTGAGATCCTTTTCAGAGTAATAATAGTAACTTTTCTTATATTCTGATTTAATAAGACAATGTGAGGCCCAGTGACTAATTCATCATTACTCAGTTATAGCACTAAATGTGATTGTGAGCTTCATGGGCAAGAAAAGACTAAAGCGACACAAATATTAACAGCTCCTGAGTGAGCAACAATTGTGTAATTCGAATGACTATCAACTCCTCAGTCTTTACAAAGATAAGAACTGTCAAAAACTTTGAATTTGAAAGATATTACAATCTTTTACCAATAAATCCCAGACAGTCAGCCAACCTTTCATCTTCTTTAATCTGATACTCTTCGTGCTGGGATTGAATTCAGGGTCTTTCACTATTCCAGTAATCAGACACAGTTTCACAAAGGTGTAAATGGATTTCATGGAGTCATGGCCACCAAATGTCAGCCTATCACATTCCCAGATAGCATTCAGACGTTGGCAATGGTTTTGCCAACATTGGGTCAACGTCCGAATGCTATCTGGGTTCCTATTACGGATGAACATAAAACATATGTCTCTGGAATTGGTGCTGTCAATATGTACAGGAACATTCTTTTCCTGCAATCCATGGTGATTTTTTTGTTTTAGGTTCATACTTTTGGTTTTGTTTCGTTACGAAGGTGAATGTTTCATGTCTGATTTCTACTTTTGGTTATTTTTGTATGAACCTGAGCACCCAGCAGACGACATCACCAGAACTTATGATCATGTTACTGCTTCATGGAAGCCTGAAGAAAATATTGCTGTTTGAAGCACATTTCCTTGGTAACATGTACCATTGAACCATGACTACATTATCTATGCACTGATTTCAGAACTGAAATCACATTATAAACCGCATTCCCATATAGATGTGTGTGGAGCCATTCCAAAGCTTGATATAGCCAGTCTCTGTACCTACTACGTAATGTTCATCAATTATGCATGTATCATTATTTTCTAATACAATGTTAGATGCAACAAACCTACATGTTGTCAGTATGTAGACATATCCGAAGGTGCAGTTTCACATATCATCTGAAGTTTGAACAGACACACCCCCCTTGCCATGCATATTGTTTTTGTTCTCATGGCGAATTGTCAGAGCAATCTGAGAGACTAGTGTGAGAAAAAGGTTAGCATCGTTGATAACAGTCTACCAAAAAGCGATATACCTTTAGTAGTAACTCTAAGTCCCCAAACTGATCAGTCATTTTCAACAGGCTTGTTGTTGTATCACCACATTGCAGTCACACTTGATATTTCCGGTCACATGGGTTTATTTACGGCGAAACGGGATGTCACTTCGCGGAACAACTTCTATCCAATGGAAGCTTTCTTGTAGATTTTCTGCATACATTAGCGTAAACATTCACGGAGTTTCCCGAGAGTAACCGAAAAGGCATTTCCCGCCATCTTTGTTCCAACATTCATTAGAATGCACGCATGCTCAGTAGTTCACAGTGGGCGTGACCAAGATAGGATTAAATGCGTTGTCCAATGAGAAGAGAGAAGTCGGTCACGTGACGCATAAATTATACGTAAGAGGCGGGAATCTCAACGGCAGTCGTCTGCAGTGAGCATTGTTTGAGGAAGGCGGCAGTCAGAGTTCTCCCACGTTCGTTGAGATTTTCTAGAGTTCATACCCTAAACCCCATCATGCCTGGAACAAAGTAAGTCAGCATAGGTTTTCTTTTGATTTAGTTGTAAAATCATGTACGTTTTTAAGTAAAAATCTCATTGTATTTCTGTATTTCTTTCGACAAGGAAGTGTTTACGCACAACGTTTCTACAGACCACGCTGAACCAGCATGGTCGTCTTTGTTCATTGATGTTAGCATCTTCTCACAGAAAGTGTGTCTTCACATATCTAAATAACTAGAACGTTATTAGTATAAGCATCGTGTATGGGGTGTACTTTGTGCACTGTAAAAATACATGAACACATAAAGTGTGTTTGTACAGCACGACATGAGTAAATTAATGAAAAGAGGTCAAGGCGTGAGAAGCTAAAGCAAGCAGAGAAAGCTATAGTGAGGATCTTAAACCTACATCCTGTTCAGTGTGTTTGATCAGCTTTCGCTGTTAAAGGTTTATCTTTGTAGCAAGACGGAAAACTCAGTGCGCCATAGGGTGAAGTAGGAAAAGATGTAACTCATGCTAATATTTCCGTGTTTAGGCCTAAGTGATTAATATCGTCTGCTGTGGGGAAAGTAGGTCAGCTGGTTATGTTAGCTGTTACTAGATAGATTTCTTAGGTTTTCATTCAGAAATGTCTCTTCTTCATCACTAGGTCAGAAGTTGAGGTTGACACCACCCAAACCGAGACAGAAACCGTCGAGGTTAAGAAAACAGTCGAGGATGTGAAGGCACAGAAAGACGCCGTGAGTATGAAATCCGTTTTGTAAACAAAGGGCCATTTCACGTTTAGTATTACGAAGTGTTATTTGATCATGTTCTTGCAGTAAGCAGTACTTGTTTAACAGTTTGGAGAGCTAGGAATCGGGAATTTATAGCAATGTTTGCTAACAAAGGTTATCGTGTGTTACAGGCCAACGAGGCCACAGAGGCTAAGGAAGAGACCGAGGAGAAGGAAGAGACTGAGAAGGAAGCCGAGAAAGAGGAGGAGAACACAAATCAAAATGCCAGTGAACAGAGCGAAGAGGTAGAATCTTCAGGTGCGTAAATCACTTTGAATTTTCAGTATTGGTAATTTCAAGCATTGTTCTATTTACAATGTTGTGGTCGTCATGGATAAATATTTAACTGTCTTCTATACAACTTTTAGCTTCCAGATAATATTAATTTGAAGTGATTGTCTGTGCATTATCAACAACGTAGTACATGTTTTATATTACGAATTCCCCATTTCAGAGGCCTCAACAGAAACCACAGCAGAAAAGAGGAGTTCAGAGGAGAATGGCGAAGAGGAGAGTCCGACCAAGAAAGTTAAAAAGGATACATCAGAGGAAAAAGAAGAATCACAGGAAAAGGAATCTGCCTAAGTTCGTGTTTCTGGAGAGTGAATATGTGTCTCTCATTGACTGTTTTGTGACTGTAAACATGAGATCAAGTTGTAAAATTCTTCATGTTTCATTTTTAGTTCATGTTCATGTAATAAATCATTATTTAAATTCATCCAAATTTCCAGTTTTACTTTATTACGATTATACCCTACCCTACCGTTTAACCAATGAGCAAAGGTTATGGCACCCTTCAGAGTTTTCAGCTCTGTAATACACTGGGAATCTGCAACAGTTTCAGGGATTGCACGTTTCTGCCTCCAAAACCTTGGATGTGTGAAAGCAAATTTGATGAGTACCATGTGTCCATCAAATCAAAGACCACACCAATGCTCTTGGAATGTTAGCTCACTGTTCCAAAGATTGGCATCCCATAAATTTCCTTGTAAACTTGCCATGTTTTCATCTCAGACTGCTTGTCAATTTAAAACGTCTACTTAAAATCAAGATTAAGCATTTTCCATGAGTCAAGTAAAATGTAATATTTTATTGGGTTTTTAAAAATTCGAAAGTTAACTCAAAATTGTCAGTAGGTGAGCTTACGAAATAACTTGGAACATTGAACTAAGACCAATCATTGATACTAATGCTTTGATGCTGTCGCAGGTGTCTTGGTGATGTCTTGCTTCTTGGATAGTATGTCAACCGCAGCATGTCCATGTATCTTCCCAACATCGGATTGGAAATATGCGTTCATATTAAGCTTACAATCGGATTCAGACTCCATTGCTGTCAGTTGCGCATTCATTCACTAGCCTCAACAGTGCTGATAAGTGAATGACCAAATGCGGTTAGTTCGCGGCCTATTGATGCCTTAAAGGCAAGGAGGAAAGTACGTATTTGCATAATACTCTAATCCATATTTGAAAAATACTTACTGTACACAACACAGCACACCTGCCATCTTTTCTCAAACGTAGTCAGCCTATCAATTTGTGACGTCACGTTTCCCCCGTCTTGAAATATATGAGTTGGTCGCCTATGTCCAGGTAAGAAAACACAATTTGTATGTCAAAGACGAGTTTGGACGTGCACAATTCCCATGTCAGCAAGTGACAAATGTTCGTAGATTATTCATCACGGGTTGTTGGTGTTACGGTGATATATATAAGGTGACGGTGACAATGTAGTTCAGTTTCTTAACATTAAGACCAGGTAAACTTCCTCACAAACGCGGTAGCCTACAGCGTTGGCTGGTCACACCTAGGACCCGGATTCGATTCCTAAAAGGGATATAATGTGTGAAAAACAAGCCTGAAGCGGGGTAAAACAATACTCACTTCTAACAGGCCTTAAATCTTTGCAGGAATATTTACTGAAAGCAGCGTTAAACGAGCGCTCTCACTCGCTGTGAAAGTGATGTAATGTATTTGCAGAAACATGAACACATGTTCCAGGTGTTAAATTTTCAAAAAATGATATCGCCTATGTGGGGGCCCACTGTTAAAATGTCATCTTTAATGAATGCGTCGATTGCTCGTATAAAACCACAAACTGAATCGTGTCTTTGAATCGTGAGTGTCTGCTCAGCTTCCCACATTCGAATTCGTATAAATTCTTAAACTTAATGTGCGTTGATTTTTTCTTTCTTATGGCAACCTGCGCTCCATTCGGCCCAACATCCCTTCCAGGTATTCGCGATACTATTAAAGGTTTATCTGACGTTTGTGTTAATTATCAACAACTGGCTTGTGTTCAAGGATTGAGTATACATTTGGGAGCGATGCTAAATCAAACATTTACATCACCCCGTGTCTGGTAGCACAATGCCCGAGTCAATCTTACTATCTGTAATATTATGATGTTAACTAGAAGGTGTATAAATACCATTCAGACTTATTTACATCATGCACTCAATGTTCGTTCTCGCTCCACACACATTCATCAACATAACTTTTGAGACGGTCCCTGAAGCGTCTCGTCTGACATTTCCACACGTTCATTTCCAGAAACTGGATCATTGGGTGAAAGGTATATTTGAAGAGGGTTTTCCCGCTTTTTAGATGTTCGTGAAATATACTCGAGCAGGGCGAAGCTCGTTTGGCCATTATCTGCGACCACATCCTACTGATAAGGCGAATAAAACAAGTTAGGGGGTAAATCGATTAATATTATTTTTTTCTTTCGCATGGTTATCGTCAGATGGTGTATACAATTGCCTGCCGCTCTCAGAAATATACATATCAATTATTTCAACAACAAAACTCAGATAAACAATAATAACAGTATATGTACTGAAAGTGAAAACACACCGCAGCCTTACATCGTCTTATCGCAATATATGGCTGAAATATTGACATCTTAACGTTGAATATTAATGTTCCACGGTGGGATTTGAGTGAACGTCTCATCTACAAATGAGAGTTATCTGCCCCTTAGGTAGTATTTCTTTTTCACTGCTCGTCAAGATGTTGGCAGCCACAAGCCCCGTTCTATTGGATAATTCTCGTAAGGCAGAACTTTGTACTTTATTTTACCTTAAAATAATATTAGAACAGAATTCTCATCCCTGCCTATGAACAAAAGTGTTCTGTTATTAATGGAAAATCGACTAATCAGAGAATAGTTATAGTTGGTAGGTTGACTTTTTTATTTAACGCCGCACTCAGCAATATTCCAGCTATATGGCGGCTGTCTGTGAATAAGCGAGTCTTGACCGGACAGTCCAGTGATCAGCGTTATGAGCATCGATCTTCGCAATATACTATACGATGACTTGTGTCAACCAAGTCAGCGAGCCTGACCACCCTAATTGAAAATATACCATAATTATAGCAAACAGGCGACTGGAAAATATACCATTGTAATGAGAATGGTTTAGCAGGTGAATAATGCTACTGAATTTTATTTGTAAATTATATACACTATACATTATAACACTTTAAGTTGAGGCCAAAGTTTATCATATATTAAGTAGATCTGCTAAATCTCTCAAATCAATTGAAGAAGTGCATGCTGAAAACGTTTCTTTGAAATTTTCACGGATAGGCATCCCAGTGATATGAATTTAAATTCTTATAACCAGCACACGTCTACCACGTGACTGAAATGGCACCGCATGTATTTCCACAATAAATTTCATTATGTCAGTGTTATGTTGACATTGAAGCAAAATACAAGTTTAGTTGATGGAAAATACTAATAAGAGATCAATGTAGACCATAAACGAATTTGCACCTGCCAACTATTGTCTGTCTGAAATAACCAATCCCATGTTTACTCCCGTCCGATACACTATTCTCCACAGTACAACATAGGTATATCTGTATTCGCAATGATGTACTCTTCACTAAACTTCACGAGTTTTGTACTCTTTTATTCTTCAAAGTCAGTTTTGCCGTTTCTATGGAAACTATAATTATAAACTCAGGGACAAAAGAAAGTTTACCAAGTTCGTTTTTTACGAAATTGAAAATTTGAGGGACTGCTGTAAAATTGGATTATTGCTTGGTAAGGGTGTTAGCATCAACACCGAAACGTCGCATATACGGCAATAAAGAAGTTATATACATTTATACATAGAACTAAGAAAAACCTAGCACACTTTCAGTGTCTGAGCCGCAATTCGCATGGTCTTCTATAAGATTTGGGGGCGGTGGGGTAGCGTAGTGGTTAAAGCGTTCGTTCGTCACGCCGAAGACCCGGGTTCGATTCCCCACATGGGTACAATATGTGAAGCCCATTTCTGGTGTCCCCCGCCGTGATATAGCTGGAATATTGCTAAAAGCGGCGTAAAACTAAGTCACTCACTCTATAAGATTTGCCGCGAATACGTGTTGACTTAGCAATATTCCAGCAAGACCACGGCGAGGAACACCACAAATAGGCTTCAAACACTGTACCCACGCGGGGAATCAAACCCGGGTCTTCGGCGTAACGAGCGAACGCTTTAACCACTTGGCTACCCTACTGCTCCCTTGAATAAGCAAGCTTATTACTGCATGCCTGGATTTTGTATTTGTTTACCATTTCTTGTCAGGTGAAAAGGCATGGCGTTTTGTTTCCGGCTTGTTTTACATAAATACTTAAATGATCTAAATCCTTTCATATTTATTCGAGATATGACTGCCATACAAATGAACGATTATTCCAATTCTGGGGATTGAAATATTTAGATTTGTTTCCAAGATAATAAATGGTGAAGTGTGTTGTTGTTTTTTCCCGAGAAAACAAAGGCATGACGAAGATATGAAGCTTTATTGTAACCGTTTGTGTACAATTTGAGCAAAAACGTTTTCCCGATTTTCGTCTTATACTAAAGACAGAGCTAGCTACGTCAGTTCCGGTAGAGGTGAGGGATGGCTAATGAGATGAGTCAAAGGTATTGTATGGAGGTGTGCAGTGAATAAGCGAGCATTTGTATTTCTTTGACTTCATCATTTTTAATTTTGCTGACAGCTAATGGATTTACACACATGTAATGCAAAATGTGAAGATCACCGAAGTAGGAAACAAGTAGGACGATAGTCCAGTTTTGTTTTCTCGCCCTATCGAAGTCTTAATCTATGTCCGACGAACGCGTGAAGATCCCCGTTAGAATTGATCTTCAGTAACCCCTGCTTGTCGTAAGAGGCGACTAACGGGATCGGGTGGTCAGGCTCGCTGACTTGGTTGACACATGTCACCGTATCCCAATTGCGTAGATCGATGCTGATGCTGTTGATCACTGAATTGTCTTCTCCAGACTCAATGGCTGCACGCGGCGTTAAACAACTGCAACCAACCAATTTGATGAGTACTTGAGACAGATTATCACTATCCAGTGAACTACCACTTCCTTACCCCATACTGTTGTTGTTTTATCCCACAGCAGTAAATCATCCAAAGATGAACAGCGTGTAAATAGGTGAGTGAGTGAGTTTAGCTTTACGCCGCGTTTAGCAATATCATAGCAGGGGATACCAGAAATGGGCTTCACACATTGTACCCATGAGGGGAATCAAATCCGGGTCTTTAGCGTGACGAGCGAACGCTATAACCACCACCGGCCCCGCATATATGTGAGTCAAGGCAAACTAATAGTTGAGTACAAGAACACCACTTCAAATCCGGGTTAGAATTGGTCTTCAGTAACCCATTGCCTCGTAAGAGGCGACGAACGGGATCGGTTGGTCA